GGCTTTGGGCCAATCACCAGGAGACTGGGAGTTCTAGTCCCGCCTTAAGTATAAAAGGCAGCTGGGTGGTTTTGGTCCAATCACAAGGGGATGGTGAGTTCTAGTCCCGCCTTAGGTGCTCCATAACTGGACGTTTCCAAGAAAAGATTGGACCACCATTGGTCCTAGATGCTATGAAGTCCCCTTTTCATGGGGTTGGACTAGAAGACCTCCAAGGTCCCTTGCAGGCCTAGGGTCGTAGGATTCCCCGGAGGCCGCCTGGGTGCCCCTGGTGCAATTCCAGCCCCCGGAGGAGGTGAGGAAGCAGGCGGTTCTCCTGCCTCTCCCTCCCGGGAGTCCCAGCTTCCCCTGGATGAATGGGGGGGGGCGTGGGGGGGCGCTCTCTTTCCAGCTGTGGCAACCCAGCTGTGGAACCCGGGTCGGCCTCCTCCGGGCTGCAGAATCCGCATCGGGCAAACCATCTCCGGTCTGCACAAACAAGATCACCAAGTGACACAAAGCCCAGGCCAGCTTGCCAACCCACCCTCTGCGGCTGCAAGAGAAGATAACGGCCGGTAATTGAAACGGTGGTGCGCCAGGCACAACTGGCCAGCCGGGTCTGCCGGAGAAGGGAAGGGAGGGAAGGGTGAGCAGCCCCCGCCTCTTTCCTCCTGCCCGTGCAGGCCTGGCTTCCCGCAGAAGGAGTTGGGGGGGCTCGGGCTGGGGGGGCAGCTGGAAGAGGGAGGTCACCCGGACTGGCCCCTCTAGGGGTGACACTGGCGGTTTTGTGCCCCCCTCTGTGGTACCAAGAAAGGAGAATGCGGGTAGCTCATCTGGGAGGGTCTTTAGCAGACGTTTCATGACCCAAACTAGGGAACACCATCAGTGCTAGAAGGGTGGGGGGGTTGACAAGAGGAGGAAGAGGAGGAGGAAGAGGAGGAGGAGGGAGAAGGAGGAGGAAGAGGAGGAGGGGGAGGAGGAGGATGGGGAGGATGACTGTGGCCCTTGGTGCTCTCTGAGCTTGGTAGTTTTTTTACAGACATTTCATGACCCAACGAGGGAACTTCAGCGGTGCTGGAAGAGATAAGGCCTCTGGACCCCCTCAGGTGGCTCTGGACTTGAATGGTGGGTTGTGCCTTTGGGGGAGGGGGTGCAGGAAGACCCAGGGGCGCATTTAGCACCATAAAGGAAAATATTTGTAGCTCGAGGTTGATTGTGGGGTCCTTAGTGCTCTCTGAGCTTGGCTGTTTTCTTGCAGACGTTTCATAACCCAACTAGGGAACACCATCAGTGCTAGAAGGGAGGGGGGGGTTTGCAGAGAAAAAGAGGGGGGGGTGAGGAGGAGACGGCTGCCCCCTCTGCCGGCCTATTTGTCTGTCTGTCTATCTCTATTATCCCATCCCACCCCATCCCATATCTACCTACCTACTTACTTACCTACCTACTTATCACTATGTATTTATAACAGAATAACAGAGTTGGAAGAGTCCCTGGAGGTCTTCTAGTCCAACCCTGCCCCACTTCAGACCAACAGTTGTCCAATCTCTTCTTAAATATCGAGATCCCCCTTGTTTTACTTTGTTAAGTAATCCAAGATGGCGAACACCCACTCCGTACTTCTTCCTCCTCCTATTTTCCCCGCAAGCCACCCACCCGGCTTTCGTGCCTAAGGCAGGAGTAGGACTCACCGTCCCCTCTTGCGATTGGCCCAACTCACCCGCCCGGCCTCCCTGCCTAAGGCAGGACTACACCTCCCCGTCTCCCCTTTCTAGGCCGGCACCTTAGCCCCCTACCCCAAACGGGCTCTCCGATCCGATCCTGCCTCTTGTCCTGGGCCAACCAAAGACGGGGCTCCCAATACTCGCTCCCAGAGGAGAAGCCAGGACGAAGAGAGGGCCCCCTACTCCGCCGTGGGGCAACCCAGCAGGCCCCAGGGGCCACGAAGGGCAGGCCCCAGATCCCCAACCCTTTTCCTGCCCGCTTTGAGCAGAGGTTTGAGGGCTCCAGGAAATCCTTCATGGAGGAAGGAGAACTTGGCTCGGCTGTTTCCACAACTCATTAATTCTACACGGTTCCTCCGGCGTAGGAGAGCTGGAAGCGGGAGGCTGTGGCTGCAACCCAACTATGCGCCTTCTTAGCTACTTGCATTTAAATAATTTAACAGTCTGAAACGAACACAACCTCCACCCACCCACCCAGGTGCAGATTTCAACAAGAGGTTAGGGATATAAACGAATGATTCTAATAACCCAACGTGGCAGCCCTGTTTGAAACCCCCGAACAGCAACCGGAGGGGATCTGCCTTGGGATTAGGGACCAGGCGGGTTTCTGGATCCGACCCCAGGAAACCTATTGAATCCAGCCCAGAATGAAGGAGAGCCCCACCCCCCCCTGTGGATCCCACCACTGTCGAACTGTCCTGATGTCGGGAGGCTCTTAAGGAGCTTTGTTCCCAACTGACTCCACGTGGAACAATTCTGAGAAACTTCAGGGCTGCCATCTTGTCTCGCTGGACGAGAAACACGACCCAAATCGAGTTCTTCTGCGTCCCTCAAAGCCGCCATCCAAAGGGACGGCTCCACCGCGGTGCCTGTTCTGACCCAGTTTCTCTCTCATCGCAGACAAGCAAGTCCATCCCTCCAGGAGATAGAGAGATTAGTTGTCTGCCACATCTATTCATCTCTGTCCCCGGGCTTTGATCCCCAGAGCCAGGGTGGGGCTTCGTTAGCAGCAGTGGCTTTTCCGTCCTGAGGACTGGCTCATAGGTTTCCACTGCTCTCCTCTCCTCTGCACATCAAGCACTGGACGTTCCTCCTCTTCTCTCTCTCTCTCTCTTCAATACTCTCATCCCTCCCTCCGTCCATCTGTTAATGGTTTACCATCCAACCATCCATCCGATAAGAGTCTACCCTCCCTCCCTCCCTCCTTCCTCCATCCATCCAACCAACAACCCATCCACCGGTCTCTCTGCCTGTCATCCATCCAACAGTATCCGTCCATCCACCCTCCCGCCTCCTCCTCTACACGGACGCTGCCTCAGCCACCAGCTACATCGTCACTGCCTGCTCAGCCTTGTTTCAACACAAGAAAGAGTCCGGCTGGTCTCCCTTACTGGATGCGGGAGCAGAACCGTAGCCGACAAAGCTGCTGCTCAGTACCGGTCCAGCTCACCAGTGATCGATGATGGGGGGGGGGGGGAACCTGGGAGTAGGGTCAGGGGGTAGCTTCCCATTCCCCTCCCAGGGCAGCGGAGCCTCCAAAGCAGCCCGTCTCTTGACCTGCAGCCGTTGGCGGCTGGGCACTCCATGATGTTGGGTTGCTCTGACAGCCAAGGGATCATAATGGGGAATTAGTAGCCCTTATTTTATGTCTTTTATTTTTATGGGTTCTGCTTTCACACTCCATAACACCCAAGAACCGATCTCTGGAAGCAGGGTGTACATTAAAAGGTTATTAGCACATCCACATATATATATACATATATATTAAATCTTACATACTTTTCCTCTGAAAATGCTTAGTTAACTTTGCTTAGCGATATCCCGCCTATGACCCAATTCCTTAACAAGGTTTATTTTTGAAAAAAAACAAAGAAGATAATCTGAAATCAAAGATTCATTAGAGTGCTACAGAATTGGAATTGCGGGGAGCGGGAGGTGGGGGGGGGGAGGCTTGGAGCCCAATATTTGGAGGGGGGGTTGTGTTTCCTCTCCTGTTGGATGGGTGGAAGGCAGGAGGAAGGATGAAAAGAGGGAGGGAGGGAGGAAGAAACAGAGAAAGAAAGGAAGGAGAGGGGGAAAAAGAATGGAAAGGTGGGAGGAAGAAAGGAAGGAGAAAGAATGGAAGGAAGGAGAGGAAGGA